ACGTCCGTCGTGCCGAGCGTTGAAATTTCGCTCGATTCTTAATAGCAGCCTCAAAAATGGGACTATTCAGTTTCCACAATTAACGTATCTATATTGTGGTATCTCGATTTGTGGCCAACGACCTCATCGCTCAAACCGTGTTTCGAATTTCTTTAAACAGAGGACAAGAATGGCCATCCAATTTCGACAGATAAAACCGACCGAGATTAAATCGAAAATAGTTTTATGGAAATCGACAGGGTGAGGCGAAAAGATGCTTGATAATTATATGATTCGAAACCTCGCATCAACTTCCTCATTTAGTTCCTGACTCGGCTGAAGAAATACGGTGTTCAAACCGATTAAGCTGAACACTGCCTTTATCGACAAGATCACCGCCCGGTAACCTGTCATTGCGCCGCTGGCTATTCGCAAGTAATCAGTTCATTTAAAGAGCGAGGCAGCGGTCGACCGTTCGAACCGAGAAATGCATAATCTGGAACTCTTAATTGCACTTCACTGAATAAACCACTTCACTGTGACGTCAACCAGAAGAATAGGCAGCTGAAGAACGTCTGTACCTGCAGTAAACTTGAATACATACCTTCGCTAGCAGACCAACGTCATCAACAAGGCCCCTAAATTTATAATTTTAACATTTTCAGGTCGTGGAAGCCTGTATCGCTTATGATGGATGGATTAATAAGGCTTTCGATATAGTCAGGAACTTCGAATTCTATAGGAAATAATAAATAGGAAATTCTTTCTGTAGATTGATAGTCTAAGGTGCATAGTTTTCACTGACCGTACTAATAGAGAGCGGTCAATTTGCTTGACCGTCGTCGCCTCTTGTCATATCGTCCCTCATCGGTCACGGTAGAAGGTTTGTGATTTTATCTACAGAATCTGTGTTTAGGATCTGCAACATACTGTAAAAGGATATGTTCAGTCAAATGCATATTTTGAAAATTAAGCTTGCAGTAAGTACTGTACTTCGCTTATGAACTTAAGAGAGCCAAAAGTAAATTGTTCATATCCAAGGACGAAGAAGATTACTATCAATAATGCGGATATATGTCACTCTGACATATCTAAGCGCAATGAAGGCTGCATCGTGTAAGATGTTTAAAGAAACTGTAGACGACAGACTTCATCATTTTGGATAAAATGGCTACAGTCGTTCAAAGGCCTTTGTTCAGATTTGCTATTGACGGTATACTGACTTTTACAAAAGCTATGAGGATGTTTCGTAACTAAGATTAACGTCTTGCAGAACTGGAAATTTACAGATTAGTAAACTGCAATACCGAAAGCAGAACTACTGATTTATTGCATTGAAAGCTAGTAGATTAGGTGTGAATATCATCAAAACAATACTGATTCAGGCGATATATCATTTGTCTAGAGCGCAGCAAACGCCTTCCAAACAATTCCCATATTCTCTGGTATATTCTTAGAGATGATCCATCTTTCTGATACCATTTTCAGCCATTCACTGATCAACAACCACCGATTTCGTAGGTAGAACAGAAAGGAAACGTTTGAAGTATGCGATAAAGACAAACGTCATTCAGATTTAAAAAAAACGATGATATGGACAGAACAACTTTAAAAAGAATTTGCTCTTTACCTCATCCTTTCGGTTTCTCTATCTTTTATTGTTTCTGTATATATATGTTCTTGCCTCTCTTTTCATCATTATGTCGACTTGTTAGCTTCCTTTCCCATTTTTGTCTCTTAGCCATTCATTTCTTTCACACTCGCTCTGAGGCTGTTATTATATTTTCTTTCTATATTCTTTTCATCCCTATAGTTTCCACTCTCTCTCAATTTGTTTTGCACCGTCACTGTACTCTACACCTTCGTCTCGATCTGTTTATATTAATGTGCAACTGCTACCGTCACTTTCAATATGCCACTAAAACCGGTCACTCAATATATATATATATAAAGACTTACATGCCCATCAACCTATCTCCTCGTTCTATCTATCTGTTTGTCTATGTATTGACCTTTTCATCTGTTCATGTATCCGTATATTTATATACCTTTATACCTATCCGTATATCTACCATTTTATCGAGTCATGTGTGTGTCTATGCATCTTTCAATCTATGTATGGAAAGATACATGAGGTCGGCGTGAATATTTATAAATCTACCGATCCACCCTACCCATCTATCCGTCCGTTTATGCATGTATCTCTTCATTTTTCTATCAATCAATCCATCTATCTGTTAATCTTTTCGGCTGTCCATCTATTTACATCTAGTTATTTTTTATCTTTCTATATATTTCTGTGCGTGTGTATCTACCTATCTGTGTTATCTTTCAATCCATTGAGAGATAAAAGAATGCGGCGAAGATGCATATATCCAACGTCTTTTCCTTCATTCTATCTATTCATCAGTCTGTGCGTGTATTTATCTTTCCATCTATCCATGCATCTATCTATTAGCTTCTTCATTTTTCCATCTGTCTGTATATCTGTTTATTGTTTCTGTTTATCTGTCTATTTATCTATCCACAGACAGTCAGACATGTCAGACAGAAAGATAGAATCCATCCCACCCATCTATTCCATTCCCTTAACTGTCTACTTATCTAATCGTTTATTTATCTGCCTAAACATTTATCAGACCTCTCCGTATTCATCTGTTTATCTAGTTACATGCAGTACTCTGCTTTCTGGGTCGGCCTCGATCACTTTTTCGCAGTTGTTTTACAGCATTCGTTCATTTCTAGCCGGTTTAACCATTACTGCTTTCTGCATCTCCGTCCGTTTCTGTATCTTCTACATTCAGTCCTCCACTTTCGTTCAGACAGTGTATTTCTTGTGTTCTTTCCAGCTCTTACTGTAGCTTAATTTTACAGTCCTGTTTGCTCGACTTTCAAGTTGTGTTCGGTTTAATGCCAGCGTCGAATTATTTTTTGACACGTCACATTTTGCCAGTCAAGCAGCTTCGCATGCATTCCAACGGTCGATGCTTTACCCAGGGAACGTGCAAGAAGTGGCGAATCCGTTTTAGTGCCGTAACCCTGGCCACAGTTGCTTCCTGAACATCGAAGACCGATCGACGTTTGGCGAATGTCTGCAAACTCAGCCGAGAAACAACACGCCAAATGTGGCCTGAGGTTGACCGAGCGCAAATACAATTTGCTCCGTTCAGAAAGCCGCGATTAACGCCGCTTCTCGGTGGAGCCGGATTAGCGGCGCCGAGCTGGCGAACGAAATGAGTTTCTTCAAGCGCGATCAGTCAGGAAAATTAAGTTTTATCTCTGATGTGCAGGCAAGAAAATCGCTATTAACATAACAGTGCAGCTCGTTCTTCAGTGGCCTCGAACATCCGTGCCCTTTCGTTCGTGAGGTCGTGTCTGAAGTCGTTCCTCCGGTTACGAAACTCCCACGGCCTCACCGTAAGGAGGTAGGAAACCAGGACACCGGGAAAGCAGGCTCCTTTTGTCGATATGACACATTTGCAATGACTTTACGACTACGTCAACAAACTCCTGCCTCGGTTTGCACTCGAGTTATGACATGTAAACAGCGTTTCGGCCCCGTCCCGTCTGATTTTGCTGACAACTGGAAAATTGCCGCGCTGATACACACCGAAATTAGTCGTTTTCAGAAAATTTGCCTTTTCAAAATTTCCTACTCATCGCCCAGCACTTCAACCACCTGTCGATGCGTTTGCACTTCACCTAAAGATAAGTGAATTTTTAGTAACAGAAGTTTCCAACGACTCCCTCACCCAATTGCAGTACTTTAAGGTAACCTCAATCCACTGTAAGTTTTCTTCATTATGTCAATTTCTGGTGCTCCATTTCTCGTGCGCCGATGTTGCCGGCTAATTGAAGTTACTTTTCATTTCCGGCATTCTTGGGCTTCCTTCCCTCTGTCTCATTTTGTCACCGTAAACACCTGCTTTTGCTGTTTTGTCATCTTTGTCTAAGGGTAACAGAACTTTGACAGCACACTCACGCAAACGTATGGTGTCCGACGCTTCAGACCGCTGCATAAACATAATCTTGCCAAGAAATCTATGCTGGAGGAGTTACGCCTTATCTGACGTACTCCGATTGTTATGCTGTAGCGTATATGGAGCCTCAGCTGCTGAAACATTGTTGGTATTGAGAGTGAGGCAACTTTAGCAAACAAACTGATGCGAAATGCATTGGGCACTGCAGATACTCAAATGCCAAGACACACTCAAATTGCTTCCTTGGACATTAGGAGTAAGAAGGCGTGCCATACATGCTAAATCTGGCTTAGGGCGAGTTACGGCTTATTTGATATTGCTCTATGCGAATTATTGCATAGAGACTGGAAGAATATACCGCTTTTCGTATATGAAATCATTACAGCCGTTGATTCGGTGCTTCACAGAATAGAGTGGTTGTCAGTGAGGAAAAATATTTCACTAGGGAGCTCACGCTACGGTGACTGGAGGTTAAATAACGTGCTTTCTTCGCGAAGGACGATTATGATTATGATTTCAACCCTAATTACTGTTCAGTTATGAAGAATCTTTGGACCACCATGGCAATTCGCGAGGATACTCTCGATCGTACTTCTTCCTGACATGCCGTTTCATATTTTGGCTGGAGCTAATATTTTATGAAGATGCAAAGGACTGCTTTTTTGGAAAGCATAGAATCATAAGAATTAGTTAAGGGCATCCCTGGTTTATTT